AAAAAAATATAATTTCATGTAGAAATTATGGAATTCCTGCACGAAACCATTGCGCTTGGCGTAGATTTACTAATCTTAGGTCTTTGTGTAAAAGAATATGTAAGCTACAAAAAGAATGTTAACTGCCTCAAGGTGAGTTCCGCATGCCAACAGCTGATGCAGAGTATCAAATTACACACTGATTACATATGCCCTATGCTACTTTATTCCAGGCGGCACCACAACTAGCGATAGATGGTGATCTGAAGAAATATGTGGCCTCGCAAAAGGATAAAAAGATACCTTATGCTGTGGTACGCGGCACTGTCACACCAATTGGTGTTCCAATGCGCAGTGTCATGTCACCATCGGTGACTGGCGTCTTGCAAGTGATTAAATTGAGGTGAACAAAATGTTTAAACTCCCACGATGGCTTTCAACTAAAAAAATTTCCTCTTTAGTGAACATCGTGTAACACGCGGCTTCGCTGGTTTCTGGACTGAACAACGCAAACTCATTCATGTCTCCTCGAATGAGATGCCTTTCGAATTGCGCAACAACGAGAGCAGTGTGGAAATTATCGACGCACTCAGCGCTGCTGTGCTAGATATGGATGTAGTTTATGACAACTATGAACCGTCTTCGCTTTCCTTTTTCGATCATGTATTTGGCTTCTTTTCTGGTGTACGACAAAAGGGTCTGCAAACAACCGAAGAAGTGCTGCGAGATGGTAGCTTCATTACAGCCATCGGTGAATTAGAATTAGATGGGAAAACATTACGTTTGCAACCCTCGCCGGTGGGTCCACTCTTCTTGACAACTGCTACCAAATCTACGCTAATCAAAAAATTTGAAGAGGCTAAATCTTCAATGCTGTAAGACTTTAGTTTTATAATTAATAGATATTTATTTACATAGATATTTCTAATGCTTATTTTTATTTCTTAGTGTTAAAATCTTTGTTTGTGGCACAATATCGGCGTTTTTAATAGGCTTCATAGTTCGTAAATTGTATGCCAAAAAGAAGCAAGAACGTGATGAGCGTAAAATCAAAGAAACTTTAGAAAAAGAAAGGCGTGAAAGGCGCGCACGTACACGACCACTCAATCTTACGACAGAACAATTGTGTGTAGTGTGTTCAACCAATCCAAAAGTTTCGGCGATCTAACCCCGTTTAGGTCGGCGAAGTATCTCAGAAGTTGTCCGTCCATAGGGCAACATTCACTACGCATTCTCCTACTCAGGGCTGGCATCGAGTCAAACCCTGGGCCAGAAATTTACACCTGCTGTGTATGCCGAAGACGTTTACACCACAACTCCACCTCAGTCAAGTGTAATGCTTGCGAGGGGTGGAGTCACCTCAGGGTCTGCTCGGGATTACGGACACACAGACAGTGGACCGCGTCGTATGTGGCCCCCTGTTGCTCCAATAGAGCAGCCTCCACGGCAACCCACAGTCCGCCCGTGCAGCCCCACACACTCACACAGCAACCACACACAGTCGCCACAACACAACAACATACCACAGCCACCACAGACCACATAACACACACAACCGCACCACCACCCACACGCCGCCGCCAACAACTCTTGGTTCCCCCTACAATCTGCACGGTATGTCAGACCAGAATATTCCGTAATGTGACATCAGTCAAGTGCAACACCTGCCTTGGCTGGTGCCACTTTAGGGCATGTTCAGGTCTGCGCACCACGCGAGATTGGACGGGGAACTTCGAGGGCCCGTGTTGCGCTGCCCGGTCGCTGGCATCAATTGCGACGCCCCCCAATTCCACCACAGGGAGGCAATCACCCCAGCAGCACACACAGCCTACGGCGGCAAGAACTTACACCTCACTAACACCCCACATCACAACACGTCTCCCGAACCACATGAAGCTCCTCCAATTCAACTGTAACGGGCTACAGAGCAAGATTGAGGAGATAACCGCCTTTATGTGTCGGCATGGTATATTAATAGCTGCGGTCCAAGAGACGAAGTTGCGCAGCAATTCAACTTTGTTGAATTGTGCCGGGTACAACGTGCACCGTCGAGATCGCGAGCGAGATAATGGTGGTGGCTTAGCGTTCATCACGCACCACACCGTGCAGTATCGTCTTATCGAAGCAGACATCGACCGCAGGGATACCACCCTAGAATGTCAGGGCATCGCTATCCGGTCAGGCGATGTCGAGCTCGAAATATTTAATATATATATACCCCCTGTCACCTGCTGCCCGGCAGGATATCACCCTGATATAGGTGCGCTCCTCAGAGGTGAAAACCGTATGGTAGTAGGTGACTTTAATGCGCACCACGATCTTTGGCACTCAAGCCTGTCAAACGATCGTAGGGGAACAGACTTGGCTGAGCAGATAGACGATTCGACATTCTGCACAATGAACGACGACGCACCCACCAGGATTATGGGTAACTGCAGTAGCTCGCCAGACATCACAATAGTCAGCGCTGGTCTGATAAACAGCATAACGTGGCGACCTATGCTGACCCTAGCATCAGACCATCTACCCATAGTCATCTCGATTGATAAACCAACCGACTTTGCCTCCGCCAAACACCGGACCTATGTCAACTTCTCTAAAGCTGACTGGAAAGGTTACGCGGAGTTTACTGAAAACACCTTCACATCGCTCCCCACACCAACCGACGTCCACCTCGGTGAACGTAAGTTCCGCAGGGCTATCACTGCTGCTGCAGCCCGCTTCATACCGGCAGGGTGCATATCGGACCCACGTCCAAACTTCCCTGCCGAAGCGGCTGTTTTAGCAAATGAGCGTGATAGCCTTCGTCAGGCCGATCCCGGAGATCCCCGTATCAGGGATCTCAACGCGGAGATTCGGCAACTTGTAAACGTACATAAGCGGAAGAAGTGGGAGGAGCATCTGAAGACTTGCAACTTCACCTCTGGTGTGAGCAAGCTTTGGTCAACCGTGAGGTCGTTGTCTAATCCGACGAAGCACGACGACAGAGTCGAAATTTCCTTCGGCGACCATGCTTCGTCGGACCCGGAGCGATGCGCGAGCTATTTTAGCCGGCAGTTCATACTGCATCCTCCGGTGGACAAAGCCAAGCGTCGAGTGACCAGAAGGCTGCACAAACTGCCAACAAATTGTGCCCCCCTTGCTTTCACTTGCGGTGAAGTTCAGGTGGCCATCGGGAAGGCGAAAGCCTCCAAAGCCATGGGTCCCGACGGTATATGCATGCTGATGCTGAAAAATTTGGGTCCTGCGGGGGTAGCGTACCTAACGGAGGTCCTCAATTTGTCGATGGCCACTCTCATCATCCCAGACATCTGGAAGGTGGGGAGAGTGGTCCCACTGCTCAAACCGGGGAAACCTGCAAACAAAGGAGATTCGTATCGTCCGATTACACTCCTTTCCCCGGTAGCGAAGACACTCGAGGCCTTGCTACTCCCGTACTTCACAAATCACCTGACCCCAGCGAAGCATCAGCATGGTTTCCGTAAAGTGCACAGCACAACAACAGCACTTAACGCCATAAACACTCAGATAACTCGTGGCCTTAACCGTAACCGTCCCTGTGAGAGAACGATTCTAGTAGCGTTGGACCTGTCAAAGGCGTTTGACACCGTCTGCCATTCCACGCTACTAGAAGATATAGAGGCCTCCTCTCTCCCACAGAGGCTCAAACGGTGGTCGGCAAATTATCTAAGTGGTCGACATTCGTCGGTAATGTTCAGAGACAAAACGAGTAAGCAGCGAAAAATAAAACAGGGGGTTCCTCAGGGTGGTGTCCTTTCCCCGCTACTGTTTAACTTTTATATTTCAAAGCTCCCTCAACCACCAGAGGGAGTCTCGATTGTCTCCTATGCCGACGATTGCTCGATTATGGCGACTGGGAATGGAATTGATGACCTGTGTTCGAAAGTAAACGGCTATCTCTCCGAACTTTCTCGCTTCTTCACTGCAAAGTGTCTAGCCCTCTCCCCTACGAAATCCTCCGCGACCCTGTTCACAACCTGGACGAAGGAGGTCAGGCTACCGCTGGGGATTCACGTCGATGACACACCAATTCCGACGGTGAATAACCCCAAAATACTCGGAGTAACCTTCGACAGCCTGCTCTCCTTCTCTGCGCACTCAACCGCTATTGTCAATAAAGTACAGAGCCGCAACAAGGTCCTCAAGTCGCTAGCCGGCAGTACTTGGGGCAAAGACAAAGAAACGTTGCTGGCAACATACAAGGCAATAGGCCGGCCGGTTCTGAACTACGCAGCGCCAGTGTGGTCGCCTGGGACTAGTAGGACGCAGTGGACGAAGCTACAGACCGCACAAAACACCGCACTGAGGACAGCGACGGGATGCCTCCTGATGACGCCTGAACACCACCTGCACGGCGAGGCGCAAATGCTCCCGGTGAAGGAGCACAATATAATGCTCTGCAAGCAGTTCCTGATCGGGACCCACAGAAGTGGCCACCCGTGCAGACAGCTGCTTGCAGAGGAGCCCTCGCCTAGGCACGTCAGGAGGCATCTATATGAACTAACGGACGAAGTCCAGAGGTTCATTAAGCAACCTCTGGACCCGACAGCCTACAGACAGGCCCTGAACGGCATTCACAGGGACTCAGTCTCGAGTTATGTAGACTCTAGACCTGTGAATGCCGTTCTAGGCACACCACCCCCGGACATTGACGAGACGGAGCTTCATCTGCCTCGGGAGACGCGCACCACACTTGCACAACTTCGCTCCGGCTACTGCAGCAGGTTGAACTCCTACCTGAGTAGGCTGAATGAGGATGTGCCTAATGAATGTCCGGCATGCGGAGAGACCCCACATGACTCGAAACATCTCTTCGCATGCCCGGCAAACCCGACATCCCTAACGACCTTGTCCTTATGGGCAAACCCCGCAGAAGCTGCACGCTTCCTAGGGTTGCCGTTAGTGGAACTTGACGACAACGACTGAGATACCAACCGATCTGGGCGGGGTTGTTGTAGCCGCTACAACAACAACAACAACAGGTAAGTAAACACTTAAAGATGTATTGCCTATTAAAAACGGTTAGAAGTGCATACTAAAACCAATCATTTTAGGAAAAAAATTTTAATTTTCAGGAAAATATGTATATTTTGATCTTTGCTCATCAGAAATGCAAAAAGCCGTAACTAACGAAAACGTTTTGTGCCATAAAAGGATAAGGGGATTTGTAATGCGATTAAATGTGTCATAATCAATCATAAAGGGAAATTTTAGATTTTTGGTTAGTTAGACTTCAAAAAAGGATGTGGTTAATTATTCTTCGAAATATTTTTTGTGTATGTTTTCGGCTAACTTTGGACCACGTGAACCTTTTTCGATAATTTTTCTCTTTTATCGGAAACGTAACCCAGGGTGATTCCATACTATTTGGGCTGATTTCCGATAATTGGATCATGAAGGGACTAACGGTACTCGTAAATTTTATATGAAATTGGTTTTCTTGCGCTTAAAAATTACTTGTTACATTTACGAATTCCATAAACCGATAATAAATAATCCAAAGCTTAACAATCTTACTTCTATTTCAGGTAATAATTTTGCCCTGTGGACATGTTTGCATCTGCGAAGACTGCTCCGAAAAGATTCGAGTTACATGCCCGGTATGTCGTGGTAAGATTGTAACAAAAGCTGCCGCTTTTATAGCTTAATTGTTGTTATTGATTGTAAAAGTCACAAATTAAACGTGAAGTATTCGAGAGGGTCGTATACCACATAACTTGTTTACTTAAATAAATACATTAAAAATCTATTTGTAATATTAAGTGCGGTTACGCGCAGTAGGCTACCAAAATATAAAACAACGCATAGTTTATTATTTACATTAATTAACTAAATATATTGAATGTAAAGTTCATAGTAATCTACAAAAAGTCATTGAAAATTTCAAGTCAAAACACGTAACAATAAAGTATCATTAGATAATTTCCTAAACTTAAAAAACATTGGAACATCCCTATGTACATACATAGATATGCTATTTTGTATCTTCCATAATTCCCTTATATTTACGCTGATCTTCAAGCATTTGTTGGAAAACACGATATTTGCGATTGTGAAAATCTTTCGTAGAACTTTTTGGTTTTAACAGTACACCAGTGCCGCCCATTGCTTTGGAGGTGGCCTTAGCAGAGAAAATATGAAATTATTAGTTTTAAGATGTTTTAAATAATTCAAATATGCATTTCACCTTAAGCTAAAGATTCCCATCACTCACCTCTAGACTACCAAAAGTATTTGCAGCGCATGCTCCCAACATTGCTGAACCGACCAAAACCATTTCTTGCTCGTCAGGTATCACAGCTGGCAGTTGGCAGATATCAGCATGGGCTTGCACATACACACTGTTCTTAGCTAGGCCGCCGCAAAACAACATACTATTGTAGGGCACACGTTTGTACTTTTTGACGAGATTATCAATAATGTGACGGGTGCCATGCTATTTGTTGATAAAACATATGAGTCTTAAGTGCTTTTTAAGTTTATCAATAAACTATGATTTTACCTACCGCCAAAGCTTGTACAAAAGCCAAATACAAGAGAGCCAACGACTCTTCATCGGCATTCATATTGAGGCCTGAGATCTGCAAGAAGGAAATATAAGTAGAATTATGAATGCAATATATACAAATTAGTTCTCTTCTTATATATGGATGTGTATTTATGTAACTAAATTTTCGCAATCTAAATTATTTTACCATTCCACGCAAATTCGGATCGGCAATGGGCGAACGATTACCGTGGAAATCGGGCCAAACATGCAGATCTTTTGTTAAGTAGCAAATGTCTTCGTATTTGCGTTCTTTAGCCATTTTCTCCAAGAGATTATTTAAATATGTATAGATGTGCCTGTTAAGTAATATATAAGACAAAAATCATTACAACCTACTTTTTTAATTAATCCTTACTTACTCATTTTTACCCAGTTTCGCCTGTATAGCGGCATATTGTGAATGTCCTTTAACCACAAAATCCAGCAATATACCAGCAGCACTTTGTCCACCTTCATTGAGGAAGTAATTTGGTAGTATGGCACCCTTGTAAGGACCCCACACACCTTGCGCCATGCACGGCTCCCGTGTCAAACTCATATGGCATGTGGATGTGCCACAAATAAGCGCCAATTTGCCCTGCAGATTTTCAAGTGATGCTGCGAGCTGTTTATCTGTTGATTCTAACGCGGCAAGACAACCGAACATACCCAAAGCGCCGGCGTGCGCATCAATCAGCGATGTGCCGACAATTGTACCAGGCAGTAGCGATAACTCTTCGGCGGCTTCATTTGTTAAGCCTGTAAAGGATATGTGCAAGTATATGTATTTTTCTTCCAATACAATTTTTTTTTCTCACAAACCATCGCCCACCGCCGCACCCGGCTCATACACGCGTTCGCCAATGATTTCAAAATTATTATTGCATAAATCTTCCAAACCGATTTTTTTCAAAAACTCTGCGCTCCAACACATATTCATGGCATCGTAATTCCATTTGCAGACCACCGAACAAAGTGAGCGTGTATCCACGCCTGTACTGCGCCATGTTAAATAGTCAGGCAAGTCGAATGCACGCCAAATTTTCGCCCAAGTATGTTGTAGGTTTTTCTTCAGCCACAGCAACTTGGGTATTTCCATCTCCAGCGATACTTGGCCACCGACATACTTCAGCAGATCATGCTTGGTTGCGTTAATAAGTGCGGCTTCAGCTTGAGCACGATGATCCATCCACAGTATAATATTCTGCTCACTGTTAAAGGTATTGCTTACCGTTAGCGGCTTACCATTTGTGCCCAACACGACCAAAGAGCATGTGGCGTCGAAAGAAATAGCTTTTATATATGCCTTGTTGGTATCGCTGGTGACTTCCTGGAATGGCGAAAAGTCGTTTTTTTTTTATAGTAAATGCAAGTGATTTTGTTAGGGATAGAGAAAATGCTTGTAGCTAGGCTGCGGATGTTTATGCAGAAAACGATACATAACTATAAGTAAAATGCATAAAAACTTAGACATTTTGCTTATAGTTAAGTGATACATATTTAAGGCTTCGCTTTTTGCATCAACATCCGGAGTCTAATTATAACTTTGTATTGGCATTTTTTCATGATTGTGCAACTTAAACACGGATGCCAAAATTTTTAACTACGTATTATTTATTTATTGTTTTTTGTTATTTAAATTTAGTTTTCTATAAATTTTTTTTCGTTATGTCCTTATATAATATTATTTGATTTATTGTTTTTTACTTTTACTTTTCCGTTTTTTTTTTGTTTGTATTTTTTCCTTATTTAATTAATTTTATTTTTTGTTTGTTTTACTTATGTACATATCTACATATGTATGTATATTTTGTTTTTTTCATTGTAATTTATATTCCGCTATATTCTTCTATTTTTTATACCCCTTATATTTGTTTTGTTTAAA